CAAGATTAGCAAGTGGGCCACCTTCTCTCTTTGTTTAGGTGGCAGTGAGCAAGTGTCTGGGGAAGTTTCTGTTGAAGAGGGTCTCCTGCTTGTTTCTGACCCATACTCATAAAACAGAGTACAATGGTGTCCTCAGGGAGTCTACTCAGGATTCACTACCACACACAGTTGTTTTTGAATTTGGAAGAAAAGAGAAATAGAAAAGAAGGAATTGTGGGGTTTTTTGTTTGTTTGTTTCTAGCCCTGCTACCTGCTCATTTGTTCCTGGGTGGTACAAATGGTGAAGTGCTCAGAGGCTAACCCAAAGGTTGGCAGCTCGAGTCCACTGAGAGGAATGTCAGAAAACAAGCCTGGTGACTTATTGCTGAAAAATCAGCCATTGAGCACTCTGGAGCACTGTTCTACTCTGACACACGTGGGGTCACCGTGAGCAGAATTGCCTCTATGACAGCTGTTTGCTTTGGGTTGGTCCCTGCTAACTTAGTTTCAGGTGGTTCTGTGAGGCCTTCAACAACTTAGGCTCATGTGCAGTGCAGTTGTAAGGCATAATTAATCTGTCATGTTTTCCCATAATAGCAAATAATGTTTTTCAAAGAATATAAAGTATGTCCATACATAAAAGAACAAAAAACACATTTTCCAGCAAAGCAAATAATCATACACAATTTAACACTAAATAAACAACAGATTTTCTTACTGAGAAAAATTTAAACCACAACACACGATGATTATTTGGATATTATTATTACAAAGAATTTAAATATACAAACTCGGTGATGAAAGAACAGGTTAAGCCGTTTAGGTAAAAGCTTATCTGTGATGTACTTTCCAAGGAGAGCCATAAAAGTCAAATAGTTAAACATTTCTTTGTGTTTTTTTTTTTTTTTTTTTGGTAATTCTAAAAATGTTGCATAGAGAAGGTCATCAGCTCATGTAGATAAATCAGACATATTGGGAGGCGGAGGAGGAGCTCAGCTGCCACGTCCACATTTTGTAAATCCAGAAATGAGTGACAAGACACAGTAGCACTATATTTACAGCCAATACTGGCACATTTTATACAAGAAAGGCATCTTACAATGGTATTTCTCTTGGTGTGTTTCCATTTGGGGGCTTGTATTTCTAAAATGGGGGTGGTGGTCTATGAAGCAATATCAAAAAACAGAGAACTGACATACAAAAGCAAACAGAAAAAAATATAAAGAGTATCAGTAACATTCAACCATCCACAGATACAAGGCCATCTGGACATAAGCCTGACACCAGTAAGACACCATCCACTGCAATTTCGCCAGTTTTGCCCTTGCCACGTTCTGCTTCAAAAATGATCTAATATGGAAAGAAAATTTTAAAAAAAGAAATTACTTTGAAATATTTAAAATATTATCATGGGCTATCTATAGCTATTCGAGAGGACAAACTCATGTACTCCTGTCACCCGTTGTTGGTAGCTGCCGTTGCATTGGCCCCCAACTGCTGGCAGCACCACAGACTACAGAGTAGAGCTGCTCTGTGGGGTTTTCTTGGCTGTAATCTTTACAGAAGCAGATTGCCAGCCCTTTCTTCCATGTTGCTGCTGGGTGGGTTTGAACTGCCAACCAATAGGTTAGTGCTGTTATTAGGTGCTGTCGAGTCAGCTCCGACTCATAGCGACCCTATGTACAACAGAACGAAACACTGCCCGGTCCTGTGCCAGCCTCACAGTCCTTGCTGTTTGAGCCCGTCGTTGCAGCCTCCGTGCCAGTCCATCTCACTGAAGGTCTTCCCCTTCTTCGTTGACCCTCCACTTAATAATATCCTTCTCCAGGGAATAGACCCTTCTGACAACATGACCAAAGTAAGTGAGATGAAGTCTGGCCATGCACTTCTTCAATTTAAAGGCATCAGCTCTTTGGTCTCCTTATTCATTGTCCAGCTTTCACATGCATATGAGGCGATTGAAAATACCATGGCTTGAGTTAGGCACACCTTAGTCTTCAAAGTGACATCTTTGCTCCGTAACGCTTTAAAAAAGCCTTTTGCAGCAGATTTGCTCACTGCAATATGACATCTGATTTCTTGACTGCTGGCTTCCATAGATGTTGATTGTGGATCTAGGTAAAATGAAATCTGGCACAACTTCAATCTTAGGTTAGTAGCCAATCGCAACTGTGTGTGGCACCTAGGTTCCCTTCTATTGCATAGGTAGATGTGTCTACATTGAACATATGCACAGTAAAATGATGCCTTCAGGGTGCCAGCTGTTCAAACTGAGGGAGTAACGCTCCAAGAAACACGACCATTGAAACCCCTAAAGGAATCTCAAGAGCACTGTAGATGGTAGAAATCTCCAGCCTGGCACCTGACCTACAGATTTTGGATTTGCCAGCCCCCACAATTCCATGAGACAGCCCCTTAAAATCTCATTCTCTCTCTCTCTCTCTCTCCCTCTAATATCTGTCTTATTGTTCTGTTTCTCTAGAGAACGCTAACACATTAAGACATCCTGGAGCAAAAATGCTAGAGAGAAAAGAGTATTTAATTTGGAACATGTTATTATTCTTGTATAAAATGTCCATTAAAGTGGAATTCAACAATAGCATATGCATACTGTGGTTATAAATAGATTAAATGATGTATTCATATGGAAAGTGAAAACCAAACTATGAAACACACATGTTACTGTGGTATGACTATGAATTGTTACTTTTTCTCAATGTAGTCATTTCATTTTGTCTTTTCAAAACTTTTTTTATAAAATCAAACATATGGCAAATTGGCATTTTAAAGAAAGATCTGTTAAGAATCATGCTTCTAACAATGCCGTCATGCAACCATTTGCCATCCCTCAAAGCATCTTTTTTGCTTCATAAATAGTCACAGATTAGTGTTCAAGGCCACAGAGTTGAAGCCCCCTCAGGCTTGCTGTCATTGCTGTATCCAGCTTTCTCTGGCTTTCCAAAGGGAAGCCACCGCTATCTGTTACTTTGTTGTACTGTGGGGGCTTGTGTGTTGCTGTGATGCTGGAAGCTATACCACTGGTACAGTTGACCCTTGAACAACACCAGGGTTAGGGGCACCGACCCCTCACACAGTTATACAAATCTGTGTATAACATTTGACTCCCCAAAAGTTTAACTACTAATGGCCTATTGTTGACCAGAAGGAAGCCTTATGGAAAACATAAACAGTTGAATAACACAGTGCTTGCCGTACAGATTTTAGATTTTCACACAAAGACATACACACCACACACACACACCCCAGGGAAGTTTATTAACTATATGGCATGATGATTACTATTCTTCACATTGAGTAGGCTGAGGAGGGGGAGGCAGAGGCAGAGGAGGGGTTGGTCTGTCTCAGGGTGGCAGAGGTGGCAGAGGTGGAGGAGGTGGAAGAGGAGGCAAGAGAGGCAGGGACACTCAGTGTAACTTACAAAAATACATTGTAATTTCTGTCAGACCTTTTTGCTTTTTCATTTCTCTAAAAATGTTTCTGTATGGTACCAATCCTTCTTCCACCATTTGCTTTAGTTTCAGTGCCCGTGTCATGCTAAATGCTAAGCGTCGTCAAGTCGGTTCCGACTCATAGTGACCCCTCCTTGGGTTTCTGAGGCTGTATCTCCATGGAAATAGATTATCCAGTCTTCCTTCCAAGGATTGTTTGGTGGATTTGAACTGCCAGCCTTCTGGTTAGCAGTCAAATGCCTTAGGCACCACACCACCAGAGCTCCTGCCCATATCATAGAAGGGTCCATGTTGTGAAAGAAGTCAAAAGCAATCTTGACTAATGGGAACCCTTCTGCCAGATTGTCTGATGTCAGTTTGTTTTCTGGCACTGCTTCTTCTCTGTCTTCCTCCTCACTGCCTGGCACTCATCTCCATCAAGTTGTCTTCTGTTCCTTCCTTTGGTGTGGTGCCTATCAGCTCCTGATATTCTCCAAGATCCGTATCTTGGAAAAAAATCACATACAAGTGGACTTGTGCAGTTCAAACCCAATGTTCAAGGGTCAACTGTATTTCAAATACCAGCAGGTTACCTATGGTGGATAGGTTTCAGTGGAGCTTCCAGACCAATTCAGACTAGGAAGAAAGGCCTGGTGATCTACTTTTGAAAATTAGGCAATGAGAGCCCTGTGCATCCTTTCAGAACATTGTCCAATATAGTGCTGGAAGATGAGCCCCCAAGGGTGGATGGCACTACACAACAGCTGTAGACTCAAACATACCTAAAATCACGAAGATGGTGTAGGCCCAGGCAGCGTTCTATTATACATAAGGTCACCATGAATCACAGTTGACTCAATGGCAACTAACAACCAAAGGGAAGAGGAAGAACCTCAGAGGGACACATGACTATGAAGAAAGCCTGTGACTACTGACTCCGCAGGATGGTATATTTTGCTTTTAAGCTTCCTGTTGTCATTTTTTTCTTTTGGGGAGAACTGTTGGAGAGGAGCTATCACTGAGCAGTGAGTGATAATGCAACTGGGTATTTCTTCTTCCTCTGGTCTCTTTTTAGGAGGAGACTGCTTTCAGAAGATGTTACTTTGGGGAATTAAAAAATGTAATGGTGAGCTAAAAAGTAGCCCGTTCACAGTAGCTGCAATAGGAGGGATAGTGAGGACTAAGCATGGGTAGTTCTAGCTCTTGGGATATGGCAACGTCTCTATCATTAAAACATGTGAATAATACTCCAAGGGTAACTAAAATGATGTGGAAGGATAGTTCATTGAGACATTAATTTGTGCTTGTTTTTCATTGTATTTTTTCCAGTCCTGGTACAAAAAAAAATTTGATGTTTCCCTTTATCATGTAAATTTGGGACTATAACAAACGGAAACCAAGTTCTCTGGATGGCAATCCCCTTTCTGATATTTGTTCCCTTCAAGTTTACCCTCCTTGAGGGGCTGTCCCAGTAGAATGTGGAGAGAAGGGCATCTGAGGGATAGAAGCAGAAGCAGGGAGGAGGGGAGAAGTGAGATTCTCCCGGACTAAGCAGCTGCACCGCTGCTCCCCCTGACAGAGCCCTGCCGAGAAGGGCAATGGCTGCTTTGAGGCTGATTGTTGCTAGCGAGACTCCAGCCTTAGTAATGGTTTCTGCATCTTAGCCTCGCATGGAAGTTGAAGAGACGAGTGACTTTTCATAGGTGTAGACAATGTGGGTATCAGTGACTGCTATGATGAGGTGAAGGTGCCCTGCACCATTCTTAATAACTGTACCACTTCTAGCTTTCCAGAAGCTCAGGCTGCCTTGGAGGGAGGGCTCCTCCTCACAACTCTGGGTGGCCAAATAGCTGACAATCAACTTCCCCCAGCCTATTAGAATGGGGCTTTGGATTCAGATGTCATTTGATTTAGAGAAAGAAATATGACTTATCTTGTAAGCCTGAGTTTATGGAGTATGATTCATATCTGCCACAAATTCTCACGGTCGCCATTACATTGAAAAATTGGACGATGTGCTTTAGTCTGGATTATTCAGCATCCCCACCATCCAACATCCTGATCAGCATCTCCCCAAGTATTGGAAAAGCTTGGGACATATGGATTTGCATCAGACCTCTGGGGATTCCTGCTAAGATAGCTGTCTTGTGTTATAGTGTGATTGTTGGCCAGGAGGTCTGGGCATGTGTTTTCAAAAATGTATATTTTTAAAAGCACTGTTTTGATGGCACATACTCCACTGACACTACCACCAAGCTACCATGTTCTGTAAAATATTTCCAAACCCATAAATTCAGTCAACATGGAGGTAATTTTGAATGTTATGCAGAGGCATATTTCAATACTCCAAGAGAACATGTTATCCATATATAACATGGCTCAGTGCCGTGGTCCCCAAACCATGCTACAAACACAACAGTGTAAACATGTGGATTGCATTTGTATTGATTCCAATGCATTGCAGTGGGCATATCCTAGAATTAATGTGTGTATATCAGTGCTAAGCTACCACTGGCTACTTTTACCACAGAGGGAAAGAATGGTTAGGCATTTCATTAACTAGGCCCAACTTAGACTTTTATTTAGAGCCATGCGTTATGATGTTCTTCTTTGATGAAAGTATGACAAGTAAATGAAAAAATGTGACTAACATCTGACACTAGGGACTAGGCTTTCTGGTCTGTCACCCAATACCTAGAAATCACATCAAGCAAAATATAAATGGAATCCCAACTCAGTGATATGCTAAATGTTCTTCCAGCTTGTCATTACCTCGTACTCAGCTTTTCACATCTCCTTCTACTGTTCACCCTATCTTCTCCCATCCCACCTTGACCCAACTTTTCACAAGGGTCCACAGTGGTTGCCTCCACAGCTCTGCTCCCTTCCCTTCTCCTCACTCTGTTACCATAGAGTGGTTTTTGCCCCTTCTTCTCTAAAGAGACAACTCCTTCAGAGGTCACCAGCTACCTCCTGATGGTCAAATTTGATAGACTCTTTGCCATTTTTATCCTATTGTTCTGAGCATTTGATCCCATTGACCAACTTCCTCCTAAAACTCATTGTTTCCCTTTCCTTTATTAAGCCCACTTTGCACCAAATGATTAACACAGCAGGTCTAAGTTGTCCAAAGCCTGCACATTCCAAAGAAAGGACTGGCTCCTAAGTGACTCTTGGGAGATAACATTTAAGCCCTTGGAATAGCCTGTAGGATAAGAGTGTCTTTGTTTATCTGAGGTCTTGGACCATAGCAGATAGTTTATGCTAACTGTGGTGGTTAAGTTTATGTGTCAGCTTGGCTGGGTCTGGTTGCGTGGATGGGCAGCTGGATGTAGTATTCCCCATGATGAGACTGGTAATCAGCTCCATGGTGGAATCTATTGGGAGCAGCTAAGTTGCTGCTTTAGGGATGTGGTCTGCTTCCTGTATAGAAGGAGAAGCCTTGGGGAGTGCTCTCTAGCTTATGGCACACTTGGACCCTGCATGTAGCCATTGTTGTTCAGCAGCCTGCCATGCTCTGCCAACCTTGGGACTTATAATGGACTTGAATTAAGGGCCTGCCATATGGTTTGGTGACATTGGGACTGTGCCTTTTTACTTGTCAACCTTGGGCTTGTCAGCTTCAGCAGCCAGCAGCTGTCTGAGTGAAGAAAAGCCTCTAGCTTCAGTGGGCTGGGAGCAAGAGGCAGAGCTGAAGCCCAAAGTTGAGGTGCTTTCACCCAACCTCTATTGGCTGGCACTTTGAACTCAGATTTACAGCCTCCAGACTGTCAGAGAATAAACTCCTGTTTGCTCAAGCCATCCCTTTAGTGGTATATTCTTGTCAGAGCGGCACTACATAACGAAAACACTAACCATGTGATATATGGTGGGAGCATTGGGCCACATGGTCTAAGTGACCAACTGTCAACAAAAACCCTGGACACCAAGGCTCAGGTGAGCTTCTCTGGTTGGCAGTACTCCTTCTGTGTTGTCACAATTGTTGCTGGGAGCATTAAGAGCTGTCCATACAAGTCCACTGGGAAAGGACAACTGGAAGCTTGTAATTCCTCCTGGATTTTGCCCTATGGACCTTTTCCCTTTGCTGATTGTAATCTGTATCCTTCACTGTAGTAAACTGTAATTATAACAGCTTTTCTGAGTTCTTGAGATCTTGTAGCAAGTCATTGAACCTGAGAGTGGTCCCAGGGACATCCAACAACACCCACTCTCTCAGTTCAGTTAAAAAACATTTAAAAAAATCACCTTCTAGCGGCCATGCATTGTGGTAAGTGCTACACATAAGGCAAATGAGCAAACTGTTCTTTTCCAGATTAAGGAATTGATAGCCTGCTTTAGGGCAAAGATGGTGAGAGAAGCCTGACAGGCAAACAGATCATTTCCATAGAATGTGTTATGCTCCTGACAAGTATTATCATTAGTTGTGCTGGAATGGGCTTGTTGTTGTTGTTGTTGTTAAGTGCCGTCGAGTCGTTTCCGACTCATAGCGACCCCATGCACAGCAGAACGAAACACTGCCCGATCCCGCGCC